TTTATGATGATTATGGCTTGGTTGAATTTGAATGCTTGTGTTCAAATTGCAATGAGTAGCTAATTCCTTAGTTAGGGTTAAAGGATAATCATTCCGGTTTGTTCTCGTTTATGTGCATGACGATAGCTCAATCTTGACGAGTTGTTTTAATTATGAATTGATAAAATCATACTTGATAATTTTTTATAACCTAAGAGTGACACTTAGGTTAATTTGTTGATATAATCAAAGAATGACACTTTGATTTGTGATTGAATATTTATTTGTTGAGTTAGAGTTTGTTAATTCTACGAATTGCGACTTTTAGAACCGAAAGAGGAAGAGTCGTAGAGATAATCGATTTCAAAACCGAGAGGGGAGAAATTGGTGGAATTTGGCTCGTTTAGAGTAGACATGTTCGGAGACGTATTGTCTATGTGTTAATTGTTTCGTTAATTCGCTCATTTATGTTTATCAGCATGTTCGGAGACGTATTGAGGTTAAACCGCTAAATGAGTTAATTAGTCGAGCCTTTTAACTGAGTTATTGATTGCCGTTAAATGTATGTAGAACCGGAAGCGATTATTCCCGACACCCTAGCTCGTCTATCTTTTTATAGTTTGTACTTTTAGGTAGATTATCCTCTTTTGTTATTTCGTAGTTGATAATATTCCAACCCTATCGTGATTAGAATGTGTAGGATTTATTTTGCTTTTATGTATTATCGATACCAATACTAAATTCCGAACCGTCTTCCTCGAGAGATCGACCCGAGAAACGAATCATTCAATTCGGTGCTCGGTAAAATAAAAATCATTTGCTACAACAACTATCACATTAGTTTATATGAGATATAAAATGTTTTTAGTTGAGTTTAATTATAAAATGGTCACGAACTCGACACACTGGTGAGAAATCAATACTAATACACATCATTTCATTGAATGAAACACTTCATCTCATAGAATCATCATACATGACTACTCTAAATTCTAACTATATGTTTTAACTTCTACTATTTTTCATCCAAATCACGGGTGAATGATCCTCGTGTCATGGTAGGCATGAAGGATTAGAGAAATCACGATTCCTAAAATAGTACCTGTTTTATCCAAAATAGTACCGCATCTTCTTCTACGTGGTACTTATTTTTGATCGATTAGTACCTATTTTAGTGAACGAAAATGGATTATTTCAATTTTGTCAGCATTTGCAAAAAGTGGTACCAGAAATAGAGTAAGATAGTACCAGTTTTATATTTTTGTAGTACCTAATATTGGGTCTTTAGTACCACTTGTAATGAACATAAAAAAACACAGAATTTTGGTCTCAAATGATGTTTATATGACTCATTATCACTCTCACATTAGTTTCTATGAGATTTAAAACGAGTTTAATTAAGTTTAGTGGGAAATTGGTCACCAATTCAACACACTAATAAAAAAACACTACTAATACACTTCATCTCATTGAATGATCATACATGACTACTCCAAATTTTACAAATATGTTTTAACTTCCACTATTTCTCAACCAAATCACGTGTGAACGATCCACGTGACATGGGGGGAAAATTTCAGTTGGGCTTGACTTTTTATTATTATTGTCGCAATAAGGCCTAAATTTTTGACTTTTTCATTTGAAGGTTTCAATTTTAAGTTATTATCAATATAAGGCCTATTTTTACATTCTACTTTTCAATTTAATACTCCATATCAATTTGTATTTTGATATAATTATGTAAACAACAATATTTTTTTAAAAAATTTATTTTTTAAGTACTTATAATTAAAATATTAACTATCTTTAGTAAAATTATCTAATAAGATAATTATTTCATAATTTACATTTATATAAAAACTTAATGAAATTTATTTTAAAAGTTATAAAATAAATATTAACTTAATTTTAATCTAAATATGTGATAACATTAAAATATAAACTACTTAGAAAAATAGTTATATTTTTTGTAAATAAACTTATAGAAAATATTATTTGTGAATAAAACTACCTACAATAGAATTTTTCGGGTATTAATTTTATATATTCGTAACTTTTTCAAAAATATAAATTTTATTCACAAACAATATTTTCTAAAATTTTATTTAAAAAAATAAATTTATTTTTCTAAATAGCTTATATTTTAATGGTATCACATATTTAGATTAAAATGAAACTAAAATTTATTTTTTATCTTTTAAAATAAATATTTAATTTTTTTTTTTGAAAAGATAGAATTCATTCACTAAACACATAATTACAACCGGCTCACTAGCCGGAATAGAAGGACTACCCAAGGCAGCCTAGATACCACAACATACACTACAGAACGAATAAGAAAAAATAAAAGCTCCCCATAGGAGAATACACAAACTCCCTACAGGAGAATAACACAAACTCCCCAGAGGAGAAAACAATCTCCTCCAAAAAAGGAGATAACAAAACACAATACACAAATCAACACACAAATAAACACCACATAAACACAAACCATACAGAATAAAAACAAAACTACTAAACTAAAGCCCTTCCCATAGCAGCGAAACCAAACCGAAGAAAAATGACGCCGACACTCACGGATAACCACCCACACAGATAGAGACCCAATCTGAGTCACGAAGCCAGAACTGCAGTATAAACGCCTAACTAGATCCGAGACAAAAACCCTGCCCCCACGATCAAGGCCCAGCCCACAAGACCCGACCCCGGCACGACTCTGCCATTGGAACTGAGGCCCCAAAAGCAGAATCGGGAGAAAGGAGGGAAGCAGCACAACTCGATCTCAGCCCGACCACCGCCAAAACGATGATCAAAGCCACAGCCCAAAAGTCATGGGCTCATCGGAACCTCGCCGCCGCCCAAACGCCAGGGGGCCACCGACCCTGACCCTCCTTGGCGACCTAGAAGGAGTCGAAGACCAAATTGGGCGAAAACGAAGCCCCCCGGAAAAAGGAAACCGCCAGTCCGACGGACCATCAAAAATCGGCCGCACGGCCCAGGTGGTTGTTGCTGTCGAGATGGCCCGGAAACTCTGCTAGAGGAAGGCGCACGGATCTTCCAGAGAAGGGTTTCTGATTTGGGGGTTTTTTTTTGCGACGAGGAGAGATAAAAATTTAGTTATACGCCGAGCATAAATTTTCTTCAATAAATATTTAAAATTTAACTTTTTAACATTCTAAAATTTTAACTTTTTAACTTTCAACAAGTAAATATTTAATATTTTAGTTCTTGGCACACGGGATTTCACAATAAATAATATAACCTCGCCTTAACGGCCATTTATATTGAAATTATATTCCTTTTTAGTGTTTCAAAATGTATATAACGTTATTCGTCGCGTTTTGCCTCTTATACTACGCAACGTAATTAGAAATTCGTGTAGAGTATAAAATTTTGTTTGTTAGAAATATCATATATTTGCATATAATAAAATTGGGTTGTTAATTTTAAAAAATATTTTAGTAATATTATATGGCACTAAATTTTAGAATAAAATAATGTTGAGTATTATGATTAATAAAATGAGGGCGATTTTATTTTGGCATGAAATGTCCAAATTTAAATGATATGAATTTCATTTGGTATGGATAGAATGGTATTTAATTTTAAAAATAAAATAAGTGGTATGAATTTTATTTGGTATAGGTATGAAAGTCGAACTATAGGTTGATTTGTTATAAAATCAAGATGATATAATTCTCAATTTTTAGCATATTCCTATAATAACTTGTCATAAGATAATTCATACGCTATTTAAGGAATATTCCTACATATACATGTTCGGTTTTAGGCTTGGAAATTACCATAAACTATTTTATGTTTTTTTTTTCTCAAGTTACCATATACTTCTCTTACTCTTCCTTATTTAATTCATATAATAATTATTTTAATAAATATGTATTCTTTTTATTTTTAAACCTTTATATTTTTTTTTATTTTATGTTTGAATGTTAAAATAATCATATTTTAATGATCTTCGATTTGATATCCATATTACATATATAAAATAAAAAATAATTACGTTTATCAATATAAATAAAACTATATTTATTAAACAATAATTTCAACAATATCAATACAACATAAATTATTTTATAACAAAAATAATAAAAATCTAATTCAGCAATATACCATAAAATAATTATTTTAATGCGTTTTATCATAGATTTAAATAAATTAATAAAATTAAGTGAAAAAATACGGATCCCATTTTGAATTAATTATTACTTTGTTAGTTATTCATAATTTTTATATATTCGTTATACATAATTTTGCAATATAAAAATAATTTATTTTAGTTTTTCTATTGTACAAATGTTAATATATTTAGGTACCCGTGTAGTACACATGTATCGTACTAGTTGATATATATTTCTCTTGAAAATTAGATAGATTTTCGAATAAATAATTTTTAATAAAAATTAAATTATATAATTTAATTTTAGAAAATTAGTTGATAAATTTGAACGACATAAAATATAGATTTATAGATTTAGTATAATATAAACTTATATGAAATAAAGATTAGTAAAATATAAATTTTTTTAATTTGGACAATTTATACAAAATTAAATTTATACTAATTAATAAAAAATTAGGAAAAAATAGTAGTAGGAGAGATAAATAGTAGAAGATGATAAAAAGAAAATAATAAAAATATGTGGAGAAAGAAAGAAAAGAAAAATAAAAAACAATTAGAAAAGTTAGTAGTGGACAAAGAGAAAACTAATAAAACAAAATGTTATGTTGGTTGTAGTGGGATGATGTAATAAGTGATTTTATTTTTCATTTAATTTTAACACTAGCGAGCTAGGAGGAAGAAAATTAAAGGGGTAGAGAGTGTGGAGGAAAAAAAATTGTAAGAAGGACTGAGGAGGAAGTTTAAAAATAGATTGGAGATTTTTAAGGAAGTTGCCCATTATTATGAGGGATACATGAGAATTATTCAGCTTACCAAACAAATCTTAATGATGAAACAACGGGTTTAGTTAACCTCAATAGTCAAAGTTGTTTTGATATAATCAAATACAGCCACGAATGTTTATTTTCAAGAAAATCCTGAAGGAACATTGACTTGCATAAGTTTTATGTTATTAGTAAACCTTTTAAACAGTTCACCGTAGAGTGACATATAAATAATCAAATAAATGAAACAGAGCACATGAAATGAACCCGTATTATTGTCAATCAGCAGGAAGAAACAAACCAAACTTCCACTATTAAACAAGCATACACAACTGGAATATACACTCTTTCCTATCATATATACATCTTTCTTTAATTTCTATTTTTTTTTTTTCTTTTNAGCCAGAGGCAGAACAATCGACCGGCCGAGAATAAAAATCGTGACATTCTTGAATAGACCTCTGCCTCGGCCTGTAAGGTATACAATTCCTCGAATCATCCTTATTCCGAAGCTTCAAACAAGAACTCGGCTCCCCACAAAAATAATTACCCGAGTAGGTAAAATTTTCGAGCCTCGGCAACATGCAAATGCTCTCTGGAATCTTTCCAGAAAGCCTGTTGCCGGCCACGTTCAGCTGCTCGAGCCCCCTCATCTTCCCCATCGACTCCGGCAAACTCCCGATCAAATTATTGAAGCTCACGTCGAAAACGGTCAACTGGGTCAACAGACCCACCTCGTCCGGCAAGCACCCTCCCAAACCCGCGTTCGTCAGCACAATCTCTTGCAGAGTTCCCGCCATATTCCCGATCCCGGTTGGCAAACACGAGCTCTGGAAGTTGTTGTTAGCGAGGACTAAGACGGACACAGTGGAGTTTCCTAAACTGGTCGGTAAAGCGAGTTGAAAATTATTATTGTTTATAAAAAGGGCGTCCAGCTTCAGGTCGAACAGACCTGAAGGGACATTGCCCTGGAATTGATTGAACCGGATATCGAGGAATTTTAGTGAGGGTAGAGAGAGAAAAACTTGGGGGAATTCCCCGGAGAATAAATTGTTGCTCAAATCGAGTTCGTACAAATGTCGGAGGTTTGAAAATGTGTATGGGACGGTGCCTGTGAAATGATTTGAGTTGAGGTGGAAAAGGGCGAGATCAGTCAAAAGGCCAAGATCTGGCGGGAGCCAGCCAGAGAGGGACGCGTGGTTTAGGTCAACTCCAGCTACAGTTGTGGTCCGAGGGTCGTCTGGGGCCGGAGCGCAGTAGATTCCGGTGTAGTTGCACACGTGGCATCCATGCCAGTTGGACGTGAAGTTTAGGGGATCCGCCGTGATGGCGTGTTTCCAAGCTTGGAGGGCTATGTAGGCATTGAAGAGTCTAGGGTTTGGGAATTGGGTTTGGGGTAGGGTTTGAGGGAATGATGGTTTGGGGAGGATTAGTAAGATGAGGGGTAGTAGTGGAAATAGGGTTAGTGAATTGTTCTTCATTCTATACCTCTTTTTTTTTTCCTATGGTTTGGGTTTTGGGGTGTGTTATCAAATGGGAATTTTTGGTGTTGAAGGTTTAATGTGGTTTTGGCTAGGTGGGTTTTTATATGTGTTGTTGAAGATTAATTGAAGGGTGAACAATATTGATTAAAAAATTGGATCATATCTCAGTTTTATATTAGTAGTTTGGTGTGTGTTTTATAAATTAGTAGTTTTAGAAATTGGTTGCCTGATCATAAGGTAGGTAAGTGGATTTGAAACTTCTTCATATTCTTTTCTTTTGGACTTTTAAGTTTTAATCTACCACACTTTTGGTTATTAATTATATAATGTACTATATGTATATATTAAAGAAAAATATAAACTGAAATGTCTATAATTTTCAAAAGGCTAGGCGGATGAAGGTAGCTTCTGATTCCACCGTAAACACGGTT